AGAAAACACGTTTTTTCCCTTTCCGAAAGAGGCACGCCCGTGCCTCTCGCGAAAGCACAACCGTGCCTCTCGCGGAAGCAAAACTGTGCCTCTCGTGAAAGAAAAAAAAACAGAAAACACGTTTTTTCCCTTTCCGAAAGAGGCACGCCCGTGCCTCTCGCGGAAGCAAAACCGTGCCTCTCACGAAAGAAAAAAAAACTGTTTTTTTTTTCCGTTTTCAAGAGGCACGGCCGTGCCTCTCGCGAAAGCACAACCGTGCCTCTCTCTAAAACAAAACCGTGACTCGCGAAAAAATGTGTTTTTTTGCAAAAAAAATATTTTTTTTCGATTTTTTTTTGTCGAAAAGCTAGGGAAGACCGGTGGAAAACCAAAACGTTAAAAATCCCAGAAAAAAAACGTTTAAAAAGCCGAAAACGCATGCGAAAAAATAAAAAAACAAAATCCGGAGGGAGTGTCCCAGAGCGCGACACGTGTCAAATGACTGAGAGCGCGTCAAGTGGCTCTGATCCTTGCGAGGCTCCCGAATGAGCGCTCGTTAATTAATTGCTCCCTTGAGGGCGGCTGGATATGCTCTAAGGACTTGTGTAAAGTGGGGCAGGATGCGGTGGGCCCGCAATCTTGCTGCCATCCTTCTTTCTGCCACCTGACGGCGAAGTGAGAAGGAAACCACCAGATCTCGCAACGATCGAGCTTGCTGTATCATCCACCTCCGGCAGTAACCGTCCGCCATGAACAGTGGCCAAAAGAAGTAGAAGGCCATCATCGTGGCACATCAATGACTGTGACAAGCGTCTGTGCCAAGCTCCTCAACGACATAATGTCACACGCCTCAAAGGTCAGCCCTACCGTACACTTGATATCTACAACGACGACCCGATGCTCTCTCGCATCCCCATGCTAGTCTATGGCACCAGCGAAGGAGAATGTGAGAGATACCGGAGAACTCCCGGGGACTTGCGGAAGGGATACCCAACGAAACACTCTGGCCATGACGTTTTCTACAACTAAAGTTATCATTTAAAAAGAAAAAAGAAAAAAAAACTAAAACTTGCTATGCTTGACATTTAAAGTTCTCATTCATGCGTCTCTAAATTTGCCATAAAAAATGTTTAAAGTTGCCATGGTGTCACAAGTATGACACTTATCACGGTCCAAGCAAAAACCGGGGCGCTGCTACATGTACGATCAATCGCAACCATCCATCTTATCCATGGTACTACTCCGATCAAAATTAACGGAAACACTAATGCCCACACGTGTGGGCGTTTGCATCTCGCCCACACGTGTGGATCCGCGTCCGTTTGTGGGTGCACGAATCTTGGCACGTTTGTGGTGGCACGTAGAACTGGGCTGATGTGTGAGCATTCATCTGGTCGCCCACACGTTCGTTTCCTCACACGAAGGGGCCGACGTGTGGGCATTTAGCAGTTCGCCCACACGTCAGATTTTGCTCATGCACAAGGGTTGATGTGTGGGCATTTGCCATCTCGCCCACACGTCCGTCTCTTCTTTCATTCCCAAGCTGCCAGTTGCCATGTGTTTTGCAGTGTACATGGCAAATTGCCCTAGTGTGCTTATAAGCAAATGGCAACTCTTTTTTTTACCCAAACATGTCAGTTGCCATGTGTTTTGCAGGGTACACGACAACTGCCCTAGTGTGCTTGTAAGCAGATGGCAACTCTCTCAAACATGTCAGTTGCCATGTGTTTTGCAGGGTACACGGCAACTGCCATAGTGTGTTTGTAAGCAGATGGCAACTCTCTCTTTTACCCGAACATGTAAGTTGCCATGTATTTTGCAGGGTACACGGCAACTGCCTAGTGTTAGTAGGTGGCAACTCCTAATGTTTTCAAATCATGGCAACTATAGTAAACCAGACCATACATGGCAATATCTGCAGTTTGTCCAAAAATGGCATCTGGCACTTGACCTGAGATGACAACTACAGTTGAGCAACCATGGCAACTGTAGTTGTCCGACATGGCAACTGTAGTTCAGTGACATGGCAATTGTAGTTAAACGAACATGGAAGAGGGTCCGGACCATGGCAACTGCGGGCGCGTGGTGACTGTCACGCGGGGCGTGCGGGGCCATGAGATAGGAGGCCCGACGTACGGGCGTGTGGGTGTTATCTATTTTACCCACACGTAGGCATGTGATAGGGAACGTGAGGAAAAAAAGACGCGTTGGCATTACTTGTTTTGCCCACATGTAGGCGTGTGGGCTAATTCTCTTAAACACCACACAAAACGTGTGGACAAACCCCTTAACGCCACATATGTGGGCGTTATCGGCGTCCAAAATTAATTGTCGCAATTTTATTACTACTACGTCTTATCCATGATATTTTTCGAAGCAGCATTTAATATGGATCAAAGTTATATATCTTTTTTTTGCGAGGTAATACGTTTCTCATTCATAAAATAAAGATCCGGTTACAAGACACGTAATAACCGACATTACAGTACTGAAAGGAAAGGATAATCCTGCACAAAAAACCAACGCCCGTTCCTCTCCTTCGGCATCACCGAAGCAACCACCAAGAGAGAGAAGACAAATCACCTCTTCACCCGAGCTCGACGCGGCTCCATCGCTGATCTGCAGCTTTACGGACCTCCAAAGTAGTTTGCCAAAAGCAAAATCATTGCCGTTGAAATAATCAGACCGGTGCAACATGTCCCTGGACACGCCATCAAACTCTAGACCTGACATCCCCGCACGACTACAACGTCGGAGGAGAAAACCAGAGCTGTCAGCCTCCAACCACACACCCAACACATGATGCACCATCTTCCAGCTGTCAACTGCACAAGCCGCCGTCTATGCATACTCCCGGAAAACAAAACCTCCCTGCTCCACCATGACGTCGGAGACAACGCCACAGCAACAGGGACAGAGCAGAAGGAGAGACACACCTGATAGAGTCGCCACCACCGCCTCGTCGACACCATCCATGAACCCTAACTTCGCCGATCTGAAGTATCAAACACACGATGCCATCAACTCTGAGACGCCGCCATAAAGGACACCGCCGGTGTGGGAGTGGAGCTGAGGCAGATTTATTCGTCCGGACGCCGCACCCACCACCCCAACGACGCACCACAACATACAAAACCAAAACTTAACTACAGAGCGGAGGAACGGGGTCCCCCCTCCCTCCCGCCGCCGGAGCA